TTCGTGGCCCCATAGGGTGCTCCGCCGAAGGCCCCAGTGGCAGGGTCCGCATGCAGTTCCACCTCCATTTCGGCGCACCCCTCACAAGTTTCGTGGCCCCCATAGGGTGCTCCACCCAGGCCCCAGTGGCAGGGTCCGCATGCAGTTCCACCTCCTTTTCTGCTCACCTCTCACACGTTTCGTGGCCCATGGGGTGTTCCACCGAAGGCCCCAGTGGCAGGGTCCGCATGCAGTTCCACCCCAATTTCGGCGCACCCCTCACACGTGTCGCGGCCCCTATAGGGTGCTCCGCCGAAGGCCCCAGTGGCAGGGTCCGCATGCAGTGTCACCCCAATTTCAGAACACCCCTCACACGTTTCGTGGCCCCATAGGGTGCTCCGCCGAAGGCCCCAGTAGCAGGGTCCGCATGCACTTCCACCCCCATTTCGGCGCACCCCTCACAAGTTTCGTGGCCCCACAGGGTGCTCCACCCAAGGCCCCCTGTGGCAGGGTCCGCATGCAGTTCCACCCCCATTTCGGCGCACCCCTCACATGTTTCGTGGCCCTATATGATGCTTCACCGAAGGCCCCCTGTGGCAGGTTCCGCATGCAGTTCCATCCCCATTTCGGCACACCCATCACACGTTTCGCGGCCCCATAGGGTGCTCCACCCAAGGCCCCAGTGGCAAGGTCCGCATGCAGTTCCACTTCCATTACGGCGCACCTCTCACACGTTTCGTGGCCCCACAAGGTGCTCCGCCGAAAGCCCCAGTGGCAGGGTCCGCATGCAGTTCCACCCCCATTTCGGCGCACCGCTCACGCGTTTCGTGGCCCTATAGGGTGCTCCGCCGAAGGCCCCAGTGGCAGGGTCCGCATGCAGTTCCACCTCAATTTTGGCGCACCCCTCGAACGTTTCGTGGCCCCATAGGGTGCTCCACCGAAGGCCCCAGCGGCAGCGCCCGCATGCGGTTCCACCCCCATTTCGGCACACCCCTCACACATTTCGTGGCCCCATAGAGAGCTCCACCTAAGGCCACAGTGCTGCGTTCGCATGCGGTTCCACCCCCCCATTCCGGCACACCCCTCACAAGTTTCGCGGCCCTATAGGGTGCTCCGCCGAAGGCCCCAGTGGCAGGGTCCGCACGCAGTTCCACCCCCCATTTCGGCGCACCGCTTGCACGTTCCGCGGCCCCATAGGGTGCTCCACCGACGGCTCTGGTGGCAGCGTCCGCATGGCGTACCCGTGCCAATTTTGGCACACCCGTCACACGCGTCGTGACCCCAGAGAGGTTCACCGAGGTCGATACCCACAACTGCGTCACTCACAACTGCACATGGTTGGGCCCCTCGCCAGGATAATTTTGGTTGCTTTTGCCTTCCTGTGCCCTGTGCCCCTGATTAAAGCTGTGAGTAGCCCGCCTAGCTTTTAGCGGAAGAGGTTCGCTCTGGCCCCGCAGAGCCCCCCCGAAAGTGTTTTTTTTGGTTGCTCGATGATCCAGGATGCTCCTCGATGGTCCTCGCCGAGAAAAATGCGCGCGTCCGAGCGATGCCGAGGGATCATGATGCTGCTGATTTCTGTTATTGCCTCGGCCGAAGCAGTAACCACCGCTCCTCAGGCCTGCTGCGCCTTGGACGGTTTCCCCAGGGGCTGTAGGCGACCCGAGGAGGGGATGAGGAGGAGGGGGAGGGGGAGGGGGAGGAGGAAGAGGAGGAGGAGGAGGAGGAGGAGGAGGAGGAGGAGGAGGAGGAGGAGGAGGAGGAGGAGGAGGGAGGAGGAGGAGGAGGAGGAGGACGGGTCGCCAAAGCCCTTCGGAGAAACCCTCCACTGCGCCTCCCGCTCGGGCGATCCGAGCGCGCAATGCAGCCAGCCCGTCGCGCGGAGCTGCGCGAGCAGACGCCTGCTGGCGGCCTCGAGGTCTCGGCACGCGCCCGGACCCCGCGCCGCGACCGAGGGGTGACCCTCCCTTTCGCTGCACGGGTGGTGGCCGACAGGGAGGAGCAGGAGGAGGAGGAGGAGGCCAGCGTACAAGGAGGAGGAGGAGGAGGAGGAGGAGGAGGAGGAGGAGGAGGAGGAGGGGGAGGAGGAGGACGGAGGTAGGCTCGAGGAGGAGGAGGAGGAGGAGGAGGAGGAGGAGGAGGAGGAGGCGGCGAAGGAGGAGGAGGGAGGAGGAGGAGGAGGACGGAGGAGGAGGAGGAGGAGGAGGAGGATGAGGAGGAGGAGGAGGAGGAGAGGAGGAGGAGGAGGAGGAGGCGGAGGAGGAGGAGGAGGAGGAGGAGGAGGAGGAGGAGGAGGAGGCGGAGGAGGAGGAGGAGGAGGAGGAGGAGGAGGAGGTGTACAATGCGACAAGGAGGAGGAGGCGGAGGAGGAGGAGGAGGACGGAGGTAGGCTCGAGGAGGGCTCCGGTCGTTATCTCGCGCGCTGGCAGCCCTCCGCCCGCCTCCCTCTCGAGGGCCCCTTGGGGCGGCGGCCCTCGGGCGACATCAAGGAGCTCAGGCACGGCACCCGCGGGCGCCGCTCCAGAGAGAGAGAGGGAGAGGAGTCCGAGCCAGTTCTGCCCCGCTCTGCCCCCCACCCCCTCGGGCTCAGAACGGGAGCTCTGGTGAAGCTTTTGGCAAGCTTGTGGTGCAGCTATCCGATGTGGTTGGAGGAGCAAGACATGGTACAAACACGAGATCTCGGAGGGGCGTGCGGATTTCTTGGATCGACGCTGGACCCCCTCCTGTCAGGTCGGGCCTGTCCCCCTACAGGGGGATTTTTTGTGGAAAAATGAAAAATACCCCAAAACTGCCGCCCAAATGCTAAAACATACTCAAATTATCCTGGCGAAGGGCCCAACCATGTGCAGCTGTGTGTAACGCAGGTGTGGGTATCGTCCTCGGTGAACCTCCCTCTGAGACCACGACGCGTGTGACGGGTGTGCCAAAATTGGCACGGGTACGCCATGCGGACGCTGCCACAGGAGCCGTCGGTGCAGCCCCATCTGAGGCCACGAAACGCGTGAGGGGTGCGCCGAAATGCAGGGTGGAACCACGTGCGGGCGCTGCCACCAGGGCCTTTGGTGGCCGCGAAACGTGGAAGGGGTGCGCCGAAATGGAGGGGGAACTGCATGCGGAACCTGCCACTGGGGCCCTAAGTGGAACACTCCATGGGGCCACGAAACGTGTGAGGGGTGCGCCGACATGGAGGGGGAGCTGCATGCGGACTTGCCACGGGGGCCGGGTGCGCCGAAATGGAGGTGGAACTGCATGTGGACCCTGCCACTGGAGCCTACAGCGGAGCACCGTATGGGGCCACGAAACGTGTGAGGGGTGCGCCGAAATGGGGATGGAACTGCATGCTGACCCTGCCACTGGGGCCAGCACCCTATGGGGCCACGAAACGTGTGAGAGGTGCGCCGAAATGGAGGTGGAACTGCATGCGGACCCTGCCACTGGGGCCTTGGGTGGAGCACCCTATGGGGCCACGAAACGTGTGAGGGGTGCGCCGAAATGCTGCATGCTGACCCTGCCACTGGGGCCTTCCGCGGAGCACCCTATGGGGCCACGAAACGTGTGAGGGGTGCGCCGAAATGGGGATGGAACTGCATGCTGACCCTGCCACTGGGGCCTTCCGCGGAGCACCCTATGGGGCCACGAAACGTGTGAGAGGTGCGCCGAAATGGAGGTGGAACTGCATGCGGACCTTGCCACTGGGGCCTTCGGCGGAGCACCCTATGGGGCCACGAAACGTGTGAGGGGTGCGCCGAAATGGGGGTGGAACTGCATGCGGGCCCTGCCACTGGGGTCATCGGCGGAACACACCATGGGGCCACGAAACGTGTGAAGGTGCGCCGACATGGGAGTGGAACTGCATGCGGACCCTGCCACTGGGGCCTTGGGCGGAGCACCCTATGGGGCCACGAAACGTGTGAGGGGTGCGCCGAGATGGATGGAACTGCATGCGGACCCTGGAGGGGCTTCGACGGAGCAGGGGCCCCGAAATGTGTGAGGTGCGCCGAAATGGGGGCATGCGGAAGCACCCTATGGAGCACCCGACCTGCATGCGGACCCTGCCACTGGGGCGGCGGAGCACCCTATGGGGCCACGAAACGTGTGAGGGGTGCGCCGAAATGGGGGTGGAACTGCATGCGGACCCTGCCACTGGGGCCTTGGCGGAGCACCCTATGGGGTCGAAACGTGTGAGGGGTGCGCCGAAATGGAGGTGGAACTGCATGCGGACCCTGCCACTGGGGCCTTGGGCGGAGCACCCTATGGGGCCACGAAACGTGTGAGGGGTGCGCCGAAATGGGGTGGAACTGCATGCGGACCCTGCCACTGGGGCCTTGGCGGAGCACCCTATGGGGCCACGAAACGTGTGAGGGGTGCGCCGACATGGAGGTGGAACTGCATGCGGACCCTGCCACTGGGGCCTTCCGCGGAGCACCCTATGGGGCCACGAAACGTGTGAGGGGTGCGCCGAAATGGGGTGGAACTGCATGCGGACCCTGCCACTGGGGCCTTGGGTGGAGCACCCTGTGGGGCCACGAAACGTGTGAGAGGTGCGCCGAAATGGAGGTGGAACTGCATGCGGACCCTGCCACTGGGGCCTTTGCTGGAGCTCCCTATGGAGCCACGAAGCGCTTTAATGGGTGGGTGAAACGCAGGGAGGAGGGAGGATAGGGAGGAGGAGGGAGGAGGGGGAGGGGGGAGGGGGGCAGCGGGAGGTGGGAACGCGGGGCGCTGTCTCTTCAAAACGAGGACCCAACACCACAGGATGGTTGGGGAAAATCGTCCCCAGACGATTTTTTGGAATATTTTTGAATATTCCTCTAGTAGAAGGACAGGGTTGACTTAACCCTGCTGGCTCCTCCCAGCGCCAGAGGCAGCTGGTCTTCCCGGCGGCGCAGCGGGCCGCCCGTCCAGTCTCGACACTGCAGCTCGCCCGGACCCCCTCGCGTAGGCCACGCGCACTCACGTGCCGTGGCCCCGCCTGCTCTTCGATCCGCCCGCTTTCGCAAGAGAGGCCGCGCTGAGCCGTTCACGTCCGTGGAGATCGCTTGATCTCCCCCGCGCTCTCCAGCTTCAACAGATACAGGACGCATAATATTGCCATGACCACCTTCGGGCCGCCTTCCGCTTCAGTGGCCCATGACATCCCACACGTACTCCATCGAACACTGCCTGATCATGCTTCAAGACGGATCATACAGTATCTTGCCCAAACTCAAACCATACTAGTTTGGAAGAGAGCGAATCGCTCTACTGGCTGGACTGTCCGAGCTCGGCAGGGGGTAACTCGACGACGACTGCTAAGCCTCGCCGACCTGTCTTCAAGCCACACGCCAGAACTTCAAGCCGCAGAGCTGCGACGAGCATCTGCACAGCGAGCGCGACTGTAATCTCGGAGTGTGCTCGTCCTGAAGAGCTTTGCCCGACCGACTCGCGCGACCACCGAATCTGCGACAAACAAGTGCTCGTCCTGAAGAGGCCCTCAACCCAAGCAACTCCTACGCCCAAAGAAGACGCTGAAGCCTGGTGCTGGGCTGCCCTCTCGACTGCAAGCTGGTAGTTTACTGGCGGCCCACTGCGTCAACGACATCCCCTTTCAGCACCTCTGTCGCTTCCCCTGTGCTATCTACACTGTCCTCCTTCACGTGCCGCAAGCGAAGCTCAGGCACACTGAAAGACAAACATCGGGAATTGACCCGATAACATAAATCCGCCATGGTGCCGTAGGCACTGCGTTGAGTGTCCTCAGGTCACTTCGAATTCTCTGCGTTATATTTGTTTGTGATGGGCGGGTCTGGAGCCCCAACTCGCCGGCGCTGCCGGGGCCGGTCGCTGCGCCACTCACTGAACAATGTTTTTCTGAATTCATGTTTTCGGCCTCACCCTGGGTGCCCCCTGATGCGAGGATGGCTCCCGAGACCGCCAAGATGCGCCCAAAGGCGCCCAAGAGTCTCCAGGAGGACTCCAAGAGACTTCAAGACGCCTTCAAAAGGGACTCTGGCCCACAGCCCAAGCCCGGTGGCGGCATGGGCCAGAGGTCACCAGATCCGCCGGCCCCTTCGCTTGCGAAGGGGTGCTTGGCGTGCCGAACTCTCTGTATCTGCTCGGCCCTTCCAAACACTTCTCAGTGGTCTTCGGCGCGACCCGCGGACCGACCGGAACCTACCCGCAGGCAGAGCGCTCAAAGGCTGCTCCCCTCACGATGGCTCCAGAAGGGCCTCCACGAGAGCCCTGGTCGATCTCACGTCGGCCCAATAATTTCCAAGGCGGCTCCAAGAGGGCCGAACATGCTCCCAAGGCGGACACAGATGGCTTCTATGCTGCCAAGAAGTCTCCAAGACACTCCAGGACAGGAGGGCAACAAGAGGATCCTCAGGAGGACCTCAAGAGGCACGCATCATTGATTTCCCATAGGTCTTAAACATATAATTCGTGTTCTCGCATGTTCGGGCATCCGACAGCCTAAGACGGCCCAATAGGGCCCCAAGACAGGCCAAGAGGGTCTCCAGACGGCCCAGAGAAGCCCCCAATATGTTGTGGAGGCGCTGGACGTCCCAAGAGCGCCCTAAGATGATCCAAGAGAGCCACAGGATGGTCTGAGTATGCCTCAGGAGGCCCCAAGAAGTTCAAGAGGCCAGACAGGAGCCCCAAGACAGCCCCAAAACAGCCCCAGAGAGCCACTCCCTAGCGTTCCCCCAGTGATTTGTCCAACGACTGGAGGAACATGTAGCCCACTAGCGTGGCCACAATTTCGCTCGAAGTTTTACGAAGCAGGGGCTTCCAACAGGCGGGGGACGGCGGTGACTCGACGTAGGCGTCCTGGGAACAAAGCAATACGCCAACTGCAAAGAGAGAATTGCAGCGTACGCGGCATAATTGCATCCGTGCCTCCGCGGTGATCGCCCACCTTGCTCACGCGTGGGCATTGTGGCATTGTCTCCAGAACGTGGTGGCTGCAACGTTATGGAGATGTACGATAAGAAAACCATGAAACTGCAATGTGGCAAAGCGAAAAAGGAGGATCGAACAATACAGACAAGATAATTTCTGGCTGCAAGCCGACACATTACACAATGGCAGATGACAGGCCGCCAGCGTCGCACAAACAGCGCTACATGAACACCACATCGCAACGATGAGCCCAGATAATGCGACATGTTCCCCCTGCGTCATCCGAGCATGACGAATCAGGTTCGAACGCCTCCACCCTTCGCCACGCACAGAGGATTGCTAGCGTGCTTGGCCTTCCTGGGCCCCAGCGTGCCCCAGTCCTCCAACTCTTGCTGCTCCTGCCTCTGCCCTGCTCTTACCCTTGAAGGGGGCCGGCTCAAGGGGGGGAAACATCGACCTGGAATTGGCGGTGCATAGACGATAGATGGGCGATAGGCCCCCGATAGCGAACCCGCACGGTCCTGGGCGGGGTGGGGCTGTCGGGCCCCTTTCGGCGATCCATGGGCGATTGGGAGTCGAGGAGTCGATGCATCCCCCCCAGAGCCTATCCCACCCCAGAAAGTCGTCCCTGAAACCTCTTCCCATCAGGGGCTCGCGGCCTTCTGGGGTCAAGCCCAGGGTCTCTTCTGGCGTCGCGCACAAGTGGGTAGGGGAAGGGGGGAAGGCTTTTCAGGAGGTTGCTTCTCAGAAGGTGACGGCCCCGGATCCATAGAGAAGGCCCGCGCCTTCTAAGCAGGGGTGCTTCTGAGAAGCCTTCCCCCCTCCCCCGATCCCCCTCTGCGCGTGGCCGACGTGGGCCCCTTTGAGCCTCCACGCCTCGAGGACCCCCCAAGCCTTGCATCGGGGAAGAGGGGGGGGGGAGTCGCCGCGCGGCCTCTGGCCATGCTGGGCCCGGTATGCGCCCAGACATCCGACGACAGGACTCTTCAGTCCGCGGCCCCCCCCGCGGTCTCGACCACTCCCCCGGGGGCACTGGGAGGCCGGAAACACACACTTTCTCTTCCCCGTCGGCGGCCGGGCAGAGGCACTGCGCTGGCGAAAGAGGTCTCGGTGGGGTGCACTGAACGCGAATCCGGCCACCGAGGCCGGCTGGAAACACGCGCGGAGCACACGTGTAAAGGCTCGCCGGGTCTGGCCACACGGCGGCCGAGCGCTGGCAGCACGCGCGGCCACATGCCATTCCAGCTCTCGCCCAGGCCGGCCGAGGAGGAGGAGGAGGAGGAGGAGGAGGAGGAGGAGGAGGAGGAGGAGGAGGAGCCTGGAGCTTCCTGGCAGTCTTTCGGCCCGAGGCAAGGCCCTGAGAGGTTGAGGTCGAGCGGAAGGCGCTGGGGCTGACCAGCAGCATGTCCTCGGAGGTCTGGGCCCGTGGCAGCCGCGCTGGCCTCTCAAGCGGAGCCGATCCGCGGCCGGAGCCGGCACCGCATGGGCGCCGCTGGCCGACAGATGCGAGGCGGGGACTGAGCCATGTCTACCGCCTGGGAGCCGCCGTCCTGGTGCACCAGCGGGCCGTGGATATCTGGATACGTTTTGGCCCCCGGGGGCCCGGATATATATATATATATATATATATATATATATATATATATATATATATATATATATATATATCTCTCTCTCTACCTATCAATCTATCTATCAATCTATCTATCTATCTATCTATCTATCTATCTATCTATATATATATACATCTATATACATATACAAGACTGCAGTGGCGCTTCGCGCCATGCACCTTGGTCCTTGAAATTTGGTCTGCAGGCGGAATAGCAGGAAAATCAAGCTGACAATTTAACGATAACTCCTTGTTGCCTTTTCCGGCATCGCCGCTATGATAATGATATTCGTTATCCTTCCTCCATGCTTCTTTTTCCTCATGTTCGCCATACCCTGCGCATTCTCCCTATCCTCCTCAGCTTTTTTTTGCGGAGGCTCCTCCTGGGAGAGCCTCTGGGGGCCTAAAAAATAGTCTCAGGCTTTCTGGGGGCCTCTGGGGGCTTCCTCGGGCCACCCTGCCTCCAACCACGGTCTCCCTGAACGACCGGGTCACGATTTGGAATGCTTCGGATGGTGTCTTGGGGCCATTTTGGGCCGCCATGGGGCTCTCTGAGGGCCATCTTGGACCCGTGTTGTGCAGTTTGGGGGCTCTCTTGGACTGCCTGAAAGCCCTTTCGGATGGTTGTGGGGCGATTTGGGAGCCTCCCAGGTGGCTTCGGACGCCCAGAAGACCGCCGTCTTGGAGCGTCGGGAAGCCGAAAAGAGGAGAACCCCAAAATTCACCAAAAACTCATAGAACATCAATGATTTTTGCCTCTTGGGAGTGCTCTTGGAGGCCTCTTTGGGGCCGTCCTGGAGGCCTCTTGGGCCATCTTGAGGTCACGTCGGTCACTCTTGGAGCGCTCTTGCGCTGTCATGGGGGTCTCTGAGACGTCTCCGATGACCCCCTGATCGCCCTAGGTGTGCTGGGAAGGCTTGGCAAAACGCCCTGCAAGGCCAGGGGGGCCGCTTCGAATCCCGTCCGGAGGGTCCCAAAGCCCCAGATCCCGGGAGTCCGGTTTTTTTTTGGGGGGGTGATGGGTTTTCCCCCCGCCCGGGCTTATAAACATATAGGAAGAGGAATATATATATATATATATATATATATATACAAAACTGCAGTGGCGCTTCGCGCCATGCACCTTGGTCATTGAAGTTTTGTATGCAGGCGGAATAGCAGGAAAATCAAGCCGACGATGTAGCGATGACTCCTTGTTGCCTTATCCGGCATCGCCGCTATGATCATGTTATTCGCTATCCTGCCTCCATGCTTCTTTTTCAATCCTCCTCAGCTCCTTTTTGCGGAGGCTCCTCCTCGAAGAGCCTCTGGGGGCTTCACCAAAGTTCTCAGGCTTTTTTGAAGCCTTCTGGAGGCCTCCTGGGTGTGTCCTGGGGGCCTCTGGGGGCTTCCTCGGGCCACCCTGCCTCCAACCACGGTCTCCCTGAACGACCGGGTCACGATTTGGAATGCTTCGGATGGTGTCTTGGGGCCATTTTGGGCCGCCATGGGGCTCTCTGAGGGCCATCTTGGACCCGTGTTGTGCAGTTTGGGGGCTCTCTTGGACTGCCTGGAAGCCCTTTCAGATGGTTGTGGGGCGATTTTGGAGCCTCCCAGGCGGTTTCGGACGCCTAGGAGATCGCCATCTTGGAGCGTCGGGAAGCCGAAAAGAGGAGAACCCCAAATGCACCAAAAACCTATATAGAATCATGTTTTTTCCCTCTTGGGGCCTTCTTGGGGGTGCTCTTGGAGGCCTCTTGGTACGTTTTGGAGCGATCTTTCGGGGTATGACGGCTTCTTGGAGCGCTCTTGTGCTGTCTCGGGGGTCTCTGGGACGTCTCTGGTGACCCCCTGATCGCCCTAGGTGTGCTGTGAAAGCTTGGCACAACGCCCTGCGAGGCCCAGGGGGCCGCTTCGAGGCCCGTCCAGAGGGTCCCAAAGCTCCAGATTTCGGGGGTCCAGTTTTAGGGGGGGTGGGGGACGGGTTTTCCCCCCGCCCGGGCTTATAAAAAATAGGAAGAGGAATATACATATATATACATATATATATATGTATATATATATATATATATATATATATATGTATATATATATACATATATGTGTGTATATGTTTATATATACACAAGAGTGCAGTGGCGCTTCGCGCCATGCACCTTGGTCCTTGAAGTTTTGGTATGCAGGCGGAATAGCAGGAAAATCAAGCCGACGATGTAGCGATACATCCTTGTTGCCTTTTCCGGCATCGCCGCTATAATAATGTTATTCGCTATCCTGCCTCCATGCTTCTTTTTCCTCATTTTCGCCATACCCTGCGCATTCTCCCCATCCTCATCAGCTCCTTTTTGCGGAGGCTCCTCCTTGGAGAGCCTCTGGGGGCCTCACCAAAGTTCTCAGGCTTTTTTGAAGCCTTCTGGAGGCCTCCTGGGTGTGTTCTGTGGGCCTGTGGAGGCTTCCTCGGGCCACCCTGCCTCCAACCGCGGTCTCCCTGAACGACCGGGTCACGATTTGGAATGCTTCGGAGGGTGTCTTGGGGCCATCTTGGGCCGCCATGGGGCTCTCTGAGGGCCATCTTGGACCCGTGTTGTGCTGTTTTGGGGCTCTCTTGGACTGCCTGGAAGCCCTTTCGGATGGTTGTCTGCCGATTTTGGAGCCTCCCGGGCGGCTTCGGACGCCCAGAAGACCGCCATCTTGGAGCGTCGGGAAGCCGAAAAGAGGAGAACCCCCAAATTCATCAAAAACCAATAGAAATTTCATGATTTTGCCTCTTGGGGCCTTCTTGGGAGTGCTCTTGGAGGCCTCTTTGGGGCCGTCCTGGAGGCCTCTTGGGCCATCTTGAGGTCACGTCGGTCACTCTTGGAGCGCTCTTGTGCTGTCTTGGGGGTCTCTGGGACGTCTCTGATGACCCCCTTGATCGCCCTAGGTGTGCTGGGAAGGCTTGGTAAAACGCCATGCGAGGCCCCGGGGGCCGCTTCAAGTCCCGTCTGGAAGGTCCCAAAACCCCAGATCCCGGGAGTCCGGTTTTTTTGGGGGAGGTCCTCCGCCCGGGCTTGTAAAAAGATAGGAGGTGTTTTGGGGGGGGTGTCCTCCGCCAGGGCTTGTAAAAAGATAGGAGGTGTGTGTATATATATATATATATATATATATATATATATATATATATATATCCATATCCACCGCTTGTGGAGGTCCAAGAAGATCGATCCCCCAGGTGGTGGCTATGGATAACTTCCCGCCTCGGAAACAAGGGTGCGCGCGAGGCTTGGGTGTCGGCACGCCGGCCACAGGCCAGGCATGCCGCCCCCAGGGCGGCCGGTGCCACTTGTGCGAGGACCAGGGGCCCCGGACCTCCGACAACACGTATGCTTTTACTGTGTCCCGGCGTTTCTCCTCGACTTCAGCTGCTGGGGCCCGTTCCCGGGCAACGGGGGCAGCAGCAACGGATTCGGGGCGAACAGCTACACCCGGGGGAGGGGGAAGGGGTCGGGACCCCTGGTGCCGCGCACTGAACAAACCATATTGTCGGATGTCTGGGGCTGTTTCTTTTCAGCATGTAGTTCCTGGAGTTCCTTGCCCTGTCCCCTCAGGGCCGGCTTACCATCCCAGGCCGTCTTTAACTGGTACTGGGCCCCAACGAGGACCCCAGAGGTGAGGCGGAACGTTAGGGGGGACCAGCTCAGGGGGGGAAACATCGACCTGGAATCGCTGGTACATCGACGACAGATCGGCGATAGGCCCCCGACAGCAGATCCGCACGTTTCTGGGCGGGGTGGGTCAATCGGGCCCCTATCGGCGATACATGGGCGGCGCGGGGCCGCCTGGGCGCCAAACAGCCCCGCGCCCTCCGCAGGCGTCGCCGACGACGCCTCCCAGCTAGAGGACTGGGAGCCGAGATGGCCAGGTACGACACCGCGTGGACCGTTCAGCCTCGAGCGATCGCGGCTCTGCGAGAGGGCATGTCGTTCAATGTTGCACGAACGTGACTATCGTTTTCCCGATCTCCATCCCCAGCGGCGTGGCCTGGGCCCCACTGGCCGATTTAGCACTCTAGATGGGGATGTAGGCCGTTCCCTTCGGGTTTCGAGGGGTGTATCCCCAACTGGGGCGGTGATTTGGTGGGGGTCTCGAAGGGGATAGGGATGGGGATGGGGGTCGGATAAACGAAACTGAGCGATCGCGGCTCTGCGAGAGGGCAAGTCGTGCAATGTTGCACGAACGGCCGCTGGTGGCGTTCCACCTTGAAGGCCTCCAGTGTCGCCGTCGCCGAGCCGGCACGCTTCCATGGCGCGCCGTGGGGAGAAGCGAGGTGGAGCAGGCCTTCACAGAGGGCGTCGGGGCGTCGGAGAAGGCCCAGACAGCTTCTCATGTCGTCTGATTTACGAAGGTCCACCCTCTCTGCCTTCCCCCATGGGCGCGCCGCCGACTGACGACATCGACGACGACGACGACGACGAGGACGAGGACGAGGACGAGGACGACGAGGACGACGACGAGGACGACCACGAGGACGAGGACGAGGACGACGACGACAACGAGAGGCGGCGACGAAAGGCGGCGATGACGACGATGACGACGACGACGACGACGGCGGCGGTGACGGCGACGACCGACGAACCTACCGTAGGCTGGCGACGACTGAAGGCGGCGGCGAAGGCAGGGCCTCGACCGAGACCGACGGCGGCCGCCACCCGTCCCAGCCTCGTGCAGCTCTGCATGAACTCGTTCTCCGGCTGGCAGGCCGCGGGGGTGCGAACGAGAGAGAGCGACAGAGAGACACGGGGGGACAAACAATGACATACGCATAGGAACTCGGGGGTCCGCGCGGATTCCTCGGAGCGGCGCTGGAGCCCCCTGGCGGCGACTCCGGCGCCGCCCCCAGCGCGCTCCGCGCGCCAGGGAGGGGGGTTTCAGCGCAGATCCGAGAAATCCGCGCGCAGCTCCGAGTTTTGAATGTTCATGCCATTGCTGGTAAAGAGGGGAGTGTGCAGGAGAACGGGGTCCCAAGATGGGTAGCTCGAAATGACACTTCGAGCCCTCCGCCCCAAGAGGACCCCCGAGACCGCCGGCAGGCGCCCAAGAAGGCCAGAAACGACCCCAATAGGCCTAAAGGAGACCCCCCAAAGGGCCCACCCGTGGACTTCGTTCTTCCTCTGGGGGTTGGCGGAATGGCGTAAGCCTCTTGAAGCGACAGAGAGAGTGCAGGAGACACAAACAACAAGAAGTACTGGGGCACAGAACTCGTCGATCTCTGAGGGTCTTGAAATGCTCCAGAGCTTCGGTGGGCCCCCAAGCCCATCGGGGGATAAGACACTTCCGTGGTGCAGCTGCTGGCATATATGGTTCCTTCTGTTACCCATCTGTCGGAAGAAATAGGTAGAAACATAAAGTAGGAAGGCGTTGAAAGCAGATTGGGTTCCGTCCGCCCCCTTGGGATGACGGACAAGGTGAAGCCACTCGATCATTGAAGTAGGAAGGCGCTTAAAGTATATTGGAGTATGGGAATCCCAAACGTACCTACCTTCCACTGACCGATGGGTAAACGCGAAGAGAAAAAAAAAAACACGGAGAGACATGTATTCCTATCTCATGCCCGCATAGCCCTGGACTGGGCTCCCTGGGCCTACTGGAGGGCGCCACCTCGGCCTTCTTGGCATCCTGGACGTCCCTGCCGGGCCTAGCAAGCGGGCCCCAGGCGGTCAGGATGGCGCCCACACGGCCCGTTGACCCCCCGAGTCGCCTCAAAAAGACCCAAGGAGGACATCCAAGACTCCCCCGAAACGCGAATTCATGGACAAACAACAGTGTGCGCATGATTCTTGGATGCTGACTTCTTCGGTCTTCTGGGCGTCCGGGACCGCCCAAGAGGCCCCCCAAATCGCCCCAAGACAAGCCAAAAGGGCCCTGAGACGGCTCCCAAGCAACCCCAAAACGGTTCAAGATGATGCTAAAATGGTACGGTTGAACGGTACCATGTCGGAACCATCTTTGGGCGTTCCAGGGGGGCATCCTGGACCACTTGGGCGCTGTCCAGGGCTGCTCGGAGGCGGTCCAGAAGGCATACGCAGAAAGACTACTGAGTCCTCGAGGGCAGCAGCGCGAAACATATTGGAGAACACCTTGAGACATTATGGGTCTGAATACGTCTGGCCCTTCCGCTGGCTGTACCAAAGTTCCATTTGGATATCTGTGCCCGTGGACTCCAGCGAAGACACGGCGGGGCCATCGCGATCCGAACAGTGGAGCGCGGCGCAAATGCACGAAACCATCATCAATGCGGTAGGTGTTTGACGGATCTGTTAGGACATGTTCGGCCAGATTGCAACCTCTTGCGACCTCTCGGGCTCTCTCGCATCCGCCCTGGGGCCCCTTGGTGCTAGATGCGGCGTTATTGACACAACTCGGCCGCCCGCGAGCGCGCTGACGCCTTCTCGGGGCACCCTTGGAGTCTCCCTTTGCGCTCTCGGGGGTCTCTCGAGGGGGCTTTCGTGCCTCTTCTGCACTCTCGCTGGCCTCGCCGAAACACGCTTGGATGCGCCCTGGGCCGGTGAAGG